AGAAGTAATTCATGTTGGTGTCTGGGAAGAAGGAAGTCCCTTCTGTTGAAGAAAAAGGCGAGAGTATGGGTAATTTAGGATTTGTCAAAATAATAGTAAACTTACTGTATTAAAGCAAAACCCCAGTCATTTTGGGTGGTTCGGTTCCATGCTTGCTTTCTTCAGGAATCTTTCTGGGTTGGCTCAGGCTCCCCTCACCCATCCTTCACCCAGGTCATGTAAGTGTCAAAGGAGACAGCCTGTGGAGTGGACCCAGCCTCACGAGGAGGGGCTGTAACGGGGACAAGCAGGCCTCACTGCGTGGACCCATGCAGCTCCTTCTCACACACGCTTTGCTGAGCTACGGAGCCAGGCACAAAGGAATGCAGAAGTCAGAAGTCAAAAGTAGCAAAGCTCGTCTATGCTCTTAGCTCATATTCAACATAGTCACGACAGTGGCTTGTTTATCTCCCTGGGGAGATGGTTAGTGACAGAAAGAGGACATGGGAGGATCCAGGTGCCGTCTACCCAGATGGTGCTTTGTGGACTTTGCTTCTTTACTCAGAACCAGGCTGTGCGCCACATGGGCCTGGCCCAGTGCCCTGGGCCGCCTTAGGCCGAGCCAAGTTGCTCTTCGGGGTGCGAAGTTTCCTGGTGGGCCTGGCATGGCAGGGGCAACCATTCTTCCCTTTCTGGAGCCACTGGGCTCCCGGGTAGAAGTGTCTGGCCAAGAGACACAGGCTTTCATTTTTCAGAAAGGAAACCCTTCCCTAGTGCTGCAAAATAAGCTTTTGCTTAGTGACTAATAACACAAACACAGACAAGATTTCTGGGCTTATAAATAATTTGTTGTCAGAGTGCCCAAGGGCAGCGGCCCATTCTGCCAGAAGAATGGCCAAGAATGTCCCTGCCACCCCGCTGAAGGCGACCTGAGCCATGGGCATGGAGCCTTGGGCCTGGGGTGCGGAAGCTGGCATTCTTCAGCGCGATTTCCCAGGCCATACTCTTACACGTTTAAATCCTGGGCTGTTCTGGAAAAAGAATAGGTGATCGCTAGGTTCCTTCCTGCCCAGCAATCCTGATTTTGCAATAGTCACAGCCTGTTTGGGAAGAGTCATGCTGGCAGAGGGAGGGAAGTGGGAGGGTTTTGTTTTGCTGGAGGGGTGCAAGAGGCAGCCGCAGGGGTTGCAGGAGCCCGGCTGGAGCAGTGTTCACATCGGCCAGAAGGACCTCAGAGGAGCCCACCTGCGTGGCACTCCGGGGTGCAGAGTGCTTACTAGCGCAGACTAGGTCTGCAGCGCATGTCCTGTTGCTAGGAAGAGGGCCCCCAGGGCCTCTGGGATGAGGCGCCCCAGGTCTGGAAGTTGTCATTTGGCTCCTCCTCTGCAGGTGCCTTCAGGGCCTGGGCCCGTGGCTGGCGAGGGCTGGTGTCTTTGGGCAGGCCCAGCCTGGTGGATGGCTCTCTGATTGGCTGTCTGCTGTGACAGTGAGCAATTGAACTCACTGCTGGGACACCGGCTCATCCATCTGGTGCTCACACTGGGTCCTTACGGGCCCCTCTGGACATGCAAGGGGCTCAGGCACCCTGCAGAGCTCCGAGGCCCAGGGAGCAGGCTCTCCAGTATTTTCTGGACATCTTGCCTGGGTGGGGTGGGCCACCCTTCCCCCTGGGATGTCTTCCGAGCCAGGGGACAGGCCTGTGGGGCGGTTCCTCAGCCCCTCCCAGTGCAGTCTCAGGACGAGAGGGGCAGGGTGCTGGCGGGGGCGGGGGCAGGTGGACAGACTCAGGCATCTGAGGTGTATTACCTTCACGCGTGTGCGTTCGCACAGACTCCGGTGATGTTCACTTGCGGGGGCTGGTTGCATACAGTGATCGTTTCCGTCCTTCTGCCCTCACTTCCGGGCCTCCCCCCCAGGCCCTGCCTCATCTCAGAAAGTCTGCTTTCTTGTTTCCTACCATCTCTGCTTTATTTTGCTAATTTCTATTTCAGGTTTATCATGTAAGAAAAACCATGGATATTTAGCTTTCTGTGTCTCGTCTTATTTTATGTAGTGTTACAGTCTCAAGTTCCTTCTTTCTTTCTGCAGAGGACACGATTTCATCGTTTATCACTGGGTGGGGTTCCCTTGTGCTTCTGTCCAGCATTTCCAGTGTTGATCACATGTATTTTGGACGTGGGACCTGCAGGGCTTCCTCCATAAAATCCTTACCACACTGAGCTGTACTGATCGGAGCATCTGTCTCCGTGCTGCTGAGCCAGCCAGCGCCAAAGGACAGAGCCCAGTCACCAGACAGCCCTGGGTGGACGTGTGGGGGTGACCCATGCCTGCCTGCCACAGTCCCTGAGAGGCCAGCGGCTTTGGCTGTTCTAAGATGCCCTAGAGGCTGTGGGCATGAGGCCCTTTTGTATTTGCCTGTCAGCGTGCCTTCCCGCTTCCCACTGTTTAAGATGAGAAGCTCAGCTGCCTTCTCCAGGCGTCTGTCTGCTGCCGTGGAGCCTGAGACGCGCAGCCTGAAGCCATGTTTGCAGAGCCCAGGGTTTATTGTTGGTGGAGGGTGAGCACCGAGCTGGAATCTTGGCAGTTGCCAGGTCCAGCAAGGCTGGCAGCCCCCACCGTGGTCAAGTGGATCTGGCTGCCCTCCTCTGCCCGCCCCTTCCCCTGCATCCTATCGGGAGGGTGGACTGGACTTGAAGGAGCTGTGGAGGATCTGGAGGAGCCTGGACCTCTGGTAGCCAGGGATGAGCGGTGGGGAGGGGACCCGGGCCTGGGGCAGGTCCTTGGAACTCAGTGGTTCCTCGCCTGCATGCCTGTCCCTGTGCCAGGCCATGGGGCCCAGTAGCATGGATACAACAGCCGAAGGGGCCGTTACTGGGTGGTGCTGTCTGCGAAGGCTTTGCCCTAAGTATTTAGCATGTTGGGGTCCGGCGGTCTTCTCAGCAGTGCTAAGAAGTTTGTACCAGTTTCGCTCACACTTCACAGGCGACTAAAGTGACAAGGACACAGAGGGTGAGCAGCTTCCCCAGAGTCCCTGGGCCAGGAAGAGGCAGGGTTGGGAACCCTGCTTGGGAGGTCTGGTCTCCAGATACGGACTTTGCCTCTCTCAGGCTAGGCACGCAGTTCTGGCAGAGGAAATGGATGCAGAACCTGAACAGGCACTGTTTGAAAGTGTCACTAGGCAGAAGTGGCCAGGCACAGTGAGAAGCAGAAAGGAGGCAGGTTTGGGTGCAGTTTGAGTTTCCATCTCAGGATGGCAGAGATAAAAAGGGAGGCAGTGTGTGTGTGTGTGTGTGTGTGTGTGCATGATTGTGAGAAATGGCACATAGTCCTGCCCTGGTGGGCACTGGAGGAGCTCAGGAGGTGGAGGGAGCGAGGTACAGGCCCTTTGGGAGGTCTTTGGTGGCCTGGAAAGTTTTTATACCGTCACCCTTGGAAGGGATGGATCTTGAAATGGTTATCATTTATTTTGTTCAAAGGACGTCTATGTCAAAGCTTCAAGTGTGGAACATGTACCAGAGGAATGGCTTTGATTGAGGTGTGTGTTAGTCAGTTTTATGTCACTAGGCACTGCACCTGGCACCCACAGCTCAAAGAAGAGGGGTTCATTTAGCATAGCTTCCGGGGGGTTCAGTCCATGGCCACTGGCGCCGAGGTGGGAACATCATGGCGGAAGGGCTGGGTGGAGCGAAGCTGCTCAGGTCATGGCGCACTCCTGGGGAAGAAGTGCAAGGGACCAGACGGAGACCCAAGGTCGTGCCTCCGTGATCCACCCAGCTACGCGAAGTGTGTTTTGCCAGTCCCTGGGGCGGAGCCCAAAGCCACGCAAGTTGGTACTGCACCCTGACCACTACAAGGTAGTTCTGAGCACCAGAGCCTGTCCTTTCTTCTGGACCTTCTTCACTGTTGCCCTGCCTCGGGCCAGGGTGTCTGCCCGGAACCTTGAGTTGGATGGTCACTGCCAGAGAGCTGTGGGGCCCGGGAGGGAGAAGCGTGGACGAGCACTGCGGACAGCGACATCCCTGGTGGTGGGGTGCTGGGTGAGCAAGCGCTCGGGTGGATGCCGTGGTCCTGGCAGAGTACCAGGCTGAGGCTCTGCCCTTCGCTGTCTGCCCATGCAAAGCTGAGCCGGTTCCAGCGAGTGCTCACGAAGGCCCCTTTGTCTTGTGTTTCTCACTGGAGCTTTGGAGCCGCTGCCTGTGTCTGTAAGCTCCTGCATACTCCGCTGCCCCGCTAGGCCCCAGGTGCCTCATTTTTCAAACGGTAAATGGACACACCTCTCTCCAGCAGCTTGTTGTGAGGTCTGGATGAGCTTGTTCACATCAGGGCCTCAGGAGCTTCCCTGGGCCTGGTGCGTGGTAAGTGCTATGTGATTACTTACTGTTGTGCAGAATGCACTTGGAGCCTAGAATTCACTCACCTAATAAACAGTAACTGAGCCCCTTCCATGTACCTGATGCCATGCTGGTGGCTGTCTGTGTAGCAGTCTGTGAAGCGGGCCAGTCTTCATTTCCCTCCCATGGGGAGACAGAAAACGTAGCTCACACTCGGGGTGAGCGGGGCTAAGATGGGACCGTGGGATTGTGTAGGACTCAGTGGGCCACACCGAGTGATACAGCGAGTCAGGACGGCTCTGCAGGAAGAGATGACAAGACTGGGCCACCGTCTTGGTGTCAGAGCTGGGTGGTGGGTCCAGGTACTTGGCCTCCGTCACATGGCTGAGAGGTGGAGGCTGTGCTCAGAACCCGCTGTGGTGTCCGTAGGAGAGAGTCCGGGGGCTGCGGTTGTGAGGAAGGATCTTGACTACACTTCTGCAGCATCACCCAGGCTTGTCCGGGAACCATGGCGAGGTGGCCACTGCCGCCCTGGCTGGGCTCTCACCGAAGTCCTCGTGGAGCACGATCTGCGGTAGCTGCCCGCCTCTCCGCCCACCGCGCTCAGCGCCATGCTGCCTTCTCTGCCTTCCTGCCGCCGCACACGAGCTCACTGGATAAACGGGTGTGTTTGTTGCTTGTCCCCCTCAGTGTTCGAGAGCACAGATAAGATTGTGATCATCATGGAGTACGCCAGCAAGGGCGAGCTGTACGACTACATCAGCGAGCGGCGGCGCCTCAGCGAGAGGGAGACCAGGCACTTCTTCCGGCAGATTGTCTCCGCGGTGCACTACTGCCACAAGGTACGGCCGGCCCGGCCCGAGGCTTTGGCCCCGAGGGTCCGTGTGATTCTGCGTGTTGCCTTCCGTGTTATCAAAGTGCTGTCTGTCCCTTACGCAGGAGAGTTTACAAAGGAGGGAGAAGAAAGTCACCATGACTCGAGTCCCCAGCTCTACCTGCGAGCAGTGTCTGACCTCTTTCTCTCTTTGGGGATAGTACTTTGTCCTCAGGTGTCACTGGAAAGCCCCCAGAGCGTGTTTCCATTACTGGAAATGCGTGAACATCGGATTCCATGTGAATGCGGCTTTCTGCCGTCTCTTTGTGGAAGCCGGGAAGGGAGCGGTGTCACACAAACCAGTGTTTAAATCAAACCGACCAGGTGCCTCTACGCTCGCCTCTGTGCTCGGCTGTCCTCCAGGAGACTCGACTGTGTGTGTTTGTGAATAGAAAACACCTCCCGAGGGCTCTGATTAGAAGAGTAGCAGAAATTTGAGTTGTCATCTCTCTGCAGGCAGCGCTTTTAGAGAGATTAGGAGCTATCAGCCGGAAAGGAAAACAAACAGCACAGGGTGGGCTGTGAACTTGCCAGCGTGCTCGGGAGAGCAGCTCCAAGGGCAGGCGTGCTTTGTGCCCAGTGGTGCTCAGACCTGCCTCTTGCCGCTCGGGCACACAGCCCTGGGTAGTCATCCTTTTGGGCTCGCTGCTCTTCCCGCCCTGGTAAGATAATGGGTCCTGGAAAGGGATCATGCAGGCCTTGTGCAGTGCAGCCCCTGGCCGAGGGGAGCACAGCTCCTTCGCACCCTGGGCTGGCTGCTTGTCCTGGGGCTCAGCCGCCAGCCTGGACTGCGTCCGGTAGATGGAGAGGCCACACAGCGTGGCTGTCTCCTGCTTTGTCAGCCCACGGGTCTGTGTCACCTTCCTCCTGCCCTGGACTTGCTGCGCTGGGGGTGGGGTGACCTCCAGAATCACAGTGGATTGGCATGGAGGACGTAGACAGATAGACAGATGGACAGGCGGGGTCTGTGCGCTCAGCAGAGGGGTCTGTCCCTTCCCTGGGATCCCTTGCAGACAGGCCTGGTCTCCTGGCCTGGGGTGATACAGCTCAGACAGCAGAACTGTGTTCCAAAGAAGACTCCCCTGCCGTCCCGAGGGCTCTGGGGGGAGAATGGATTCCAGCCATTTTTCCGTAACCACACAGCAAGTGACTAATGCTCTCCTGTCCCTGGCCGCCGGCTAGGGAGCTCATGACAGCAAGGGCAGCTGAAGGATGGAGGTGGAGACCACCGGGCTGGTGCCTTCCCCTCCCGCACCAGACATTCCTGCTGCGCGGCCTCCTCCTCCTGCTTCCCCCTCCGCCCCGCGTCTGCTCAGACCCCTCCTCGTCCTCTCCTTCCAGAATGGCGTGGTCCACCGGGACTTGAAGCTGGAGAATATCCTGCTCGATGACAACTGCAACATCAAGGTGAGCTCCTGCCTTTCGATTGCTGGGCAGGGCCAGGGTGTTGTGGCAGTGGTTGGGACTGTGGTGGCTGAGCCTGAGCCAGGTACAGCTGGGAGGGGGCAGCTTCTCCCCCTGCTGGCTGGCAGCTTCCGGAGCAGCTCCTGCGGGAGCTCTGGGTTCCATTCGGGTGAAACCCAGCAAGCATGAACTGAGCTCCTGCTGCATACCAGACCCTGTTCTTCCTGCTGGGATAGAGAGGCGGTGGAGACGCAGGTCCCGCCCCCCGGAAGCTCATCATTCAAAATCATCCAGAAAAGTCCTTACATCATCTTGCATATTTCATACCCTGTTTTGATTTTCCTGTGAGTGACATCTCTGTAACAGCTGGGAAACAAAGGCACAGGACAGTTAAATAACTCACCCAGGGCAACAGAGTGGTAAATAGTGGAGCTGGGAATTTGAACCCTATATCCCAAGGTTTATATCATCATATTGGATTTACTAGCAGGGCCCCAGATTTTATTTATTTGTTGTTTGATTATTGGTTTCGGTAATACTGAAGACTGAACCCAGGGCTTTTGCACTAAGCTACATCCCCAGCCCTTTAAAATTTTTTTTTTTTATTATTTTGAGAGAGGGTTGTGCTAAATCACTAAGTTGCCCAGGCTGAGCTCGAACTTGCAGTCCTCCTGCCTCAGCCTCCTAGAGTGCTGGGATGACAGGTGTATACCTCGATGCCCGGCTTCCAAATGAGTTTACAGTTAGAGCTGTTTGCCTGGCCACTTTGCTTCTTCCCTACCTCCAGTCTCCTATGTCCTCTCCCCGCTCCCAGCCCCGAACGCGGCCCTGGCACGGGGGGCCTGATGGAGGGGGGCTGTTCGGCGTTGGGAAGCAGCACGGAGGGAGGTTACTTTTGCGGCATTATTGTCGGCTGCTGGAGTTGGAGAAAGCTCTCCTGGCCGACAGGGCCCAGTTGCCTCCTGGGGAGACTCCCAACCTCCTTTTGATCGTGTCTGCAAAATAAGCAAGTACGGTTTCAAAATAAACACGGCTCACTGCATGGGCTCCGTGAGGAGAAAGGCTTAGAGCTCCCAGCACCAGCGGGGAGCCCCCGACTGGCCCCTCGTGACATGAATGCCCCGTCCCTGTCCCTGTTCAAAGCCTGGGAGCCGCCGTGCACCTGCCTGCCTCTTCTCTGCTGTTGCTTCTGTCAGTCGGCGGGTGAGGATGAGGTCCCTGCCTTGCTCGGAGGGATGGAGTCGCTCTGCTGTTTGGACTCTGTCTGTCGATCAGGGCAGCAGCCACATCAGTGCCCTGCATCCTCTGCAAAGCCCCCAGAAGCCACGCCTTGAGGACCTCTCATCCCCACAGAGGGGCTGACTGTACTCGCACATTTCTCTGCAGTGTGGGGAGGAAGGAGGATACAGGCCGTCGGTGTGAATCTGCCTGGGTACAGGAAGTGAAATCTCAGGGTCTCTTCTTCTCTGGCTGAGAGGATGGATTGTTGCAGAAGGAGGAGGAAAGTTCTGGGCTCAGCGGCTTACCAGCTTCTGACACTGGGAAAGCCATGTAACCTTGTTTCCTGAGATGCACAACCCCCAGGCTTGCTTTGGGGTCTAAACGAGATGTCCTGCATGTTCCGTCTTACAAGCCGCCGAGCACTGTGTGCTGATGGGTCCAGGTTGAGGCTCGTGGCTTTGAAGCTATTTGGCCTGGGTCCTCACTGCCACACAGCCTCTTGCCGATTGCAGATTTGGGTAAATTATTCACCGGTCTTGGCTTTAGTTATCTTATCCGTCATTTAGTGGTGCCAGCTTCTGTCCTGGGGTTTATTCTTTATTTGTTCATTTTATTCACCAAGTATTTTCTAAGCAGCAGTGCAGACCTGTGCCCAGGCCGGGGGCATCAGCAAGAAACTTGCAATGATTTGAGACAGTATAGTCAGAGCAATTCACTCGTAATGGTTGTTGCACGGGGGCCTGCTCAGTGGCCTGTCCTAGGAGAGGGAATCCAACTGGAAGCCAGCTGCCCTGGGCTTTGGAGAGTGGCAGTCAGGCCCTGCCTGGAGAATTGGGTCCTGGCCTTCTAAGGGTTTGTGTCATGCACTGAACTTGGTGACTTTCTCTCCAGATTCCGCCTGCCACCTGCCCCCAGAGCACTCAGAACTAAATGTAGTCTTTACAAGGCCTGGAATGTGAGCTCAGCCCGGGGATTAGGTTCTGTCCTACAGGGTGACCTCGTGGTCGCATGATGTAGTCCCAGAAGTGATAAGGCACATAGCTTCCTGCAGAGTCATACAGTTTCCCAGTGGAGGAGAAGAATGGATAGAATTCTGAAAGTGATTGTGTGGGGAACAATGGGCAGCGCCTGGAGAATGGCTCATTGGCATGAGCCTCACCCCTCCCAGGGACCGGGGACCGTGGCCTTTGGCCTGGGATCCTGTGCATCACGCGGGCAAATTGCACACACAGCGGAGACTGTAGAGTTAGGGGCTGGGCATACCTGTGTCTTTTCCTTAGAAATTTCTGCTGTCACGTTACACACACACTCCTCACCCACACGGGTCCCAAACAGAAATCAAGTACTCCTATTTATTTTAAGTCACTTATCATTCCTGTGCTTGTTCAAGGAAACCTCCTAAGACCTGAGAATCATGGAGCTTGAAAGAACTTCGATGGTCATTTCCCAACCCCTTATTTCAGTGATGGGACCCAGAAACTCTAGGCCATGTGCTCAGGATCACAGGGGGAACCAGTAGAATCAAGTCTGTTTCCGGGCGTGTTCCTCACGCAGCACGCGGCTCACGGTGGATGCTGAAGAGCCCTTCGCCTTTGGAGAGGAGGATCGCCGCGCCAGGGCTAGAACTCACGTGTTTGACTTCCAGGCACTTTCTCCTCTCATCATCTCACACCCCTTCCGAGGTTCTGTAAGATGTGTTTCAGCTGGTGTTGATTTGTTTTCCGGCTGTGTCCACTCAGCTCTTTTCGGCTGGCTTCTCGCTGGGCATCTTTAGAAAGGACACTTGCTGACAAAAGCAGCAGCTCCACGGCCACAAGCTGGCCTTTGTGTTCACGAGGGCCCAGGCTGTCCCTGCCTGGGCCTGGGGACCGCGGGCACCGGCGAGCTGCCAGCTAAGTGGCTTCCAGTGGCAGGACCTTTTGAGCCCCGTGGGACCGCTGGGTGCTGAAGTGCTGCGGTTTGAACTTGTCCTGTGTCCCGCCTGTTACGGAGCAAGCTGTGTAGCTCGCTCCCGTCCTCTTCCTTCCCTGCCTGGCGTGGACCTGTGGAGTGCACATCGTGCATCTGGAAACCACTTATCTGGCCACTGTGAGAGGGCGTGGTTTCTAAAAATATTCGCCCTTCTGGTCGGCAGAAAGAATGAGAGTAACGCGCTGCTTCGGGCTGCATTCCTGCTGGCGGAAGAGGCATGTACAGAAATAGCACCCAGCAGAGTATTAATTTGCAATTAATAAAAATGAGCCAGACTCACAGCCCACTCTGGGAGAATGGAATGCTGACAATTCCCATCGAAGGCTGCTGCACAAACACCGCCTGGTGAGGGGAGGGCCAGGCCGGGCCAGCTGACCTCCTGGGAGAGGGCTGAGGCTCTGCCGAGCGAGCGCCCAGGGACAGAGGGAGGTGGCCTGCTGCTCCTGCCAACAATGGTGGGAGCCAGCCTGCCGGATCAGAAAAGAGGCTTTGACAGGCCGAGGTCGAGAGGAGACTGATACCGCTCGGGCCTAACCAGACCGAGACTTGGGATGGGGGCTGTGCGGTTTGTTTCTGTGAGTGTGAGAACCTTGTGTCCCTGCACGAATCAGTTCATTTGTTTGTGTGTTTGTCCACTGTGCGTATGCGTGTGCGAGCGCATGTGTGCATCCGTGCGTAGATCCGCGCACGCCTGCGTTCACTCACTGGGTCTGGCGTGTGTTCCTTCAGCAATTGAACATCTGCTCTGAGCAGTATGGGTTCGATCAGAAGTGTTTCCCACCTTGCTCCTGTGCATTGGGCCCTGTGCTGGGTGCTGGGTGCTGGGTGCTGGGTGCTGGGGTTTCACAGTGAATGAGGTGGTCAGGTCCTCAGGCTCTTGGACCTCGGAATGTAGCACTTGTGAACCCAGCAGTGACAGTGGGTCGTGAGAAAGACCCAGAGGGAGATGAAGAAGGCTGGGTCCTTCCCCTCATGGGCTCGGGCTTGCAGTTGGTAAATACGTGGTGTAATTGTCGGTGAAGCTCAGTCAGGTAAGGCTGGAGAAGGGCTAGCACGGCGACACGGCCCCTCGGCGGGACTCGAAGCCCTCACATCCACCAGGCGCTTCTCTGGCTCCCTGGCCTGAGCGCACATGGCTCCCTCTGTTTCCTGTGCCGTTCACTCCTCCGTCCGTTCCTCTTTGGGGCTGCGTTGAATGCCTCTTCTTGCAGGAAGTCTTCCCTGCTCTTCGTCCCTGTGGAGCTGCTGCACAGGAAGGGGTGGATGGGAAACCTCCAGGGCACGCGGTGACAGGCCGGGGTTTGTGGGGAAGACAAGGGACGGAAACTGCGAGGCGTGAGCGTCTGTCTGCCGGAGACAGGGCCGCCCTTGCTGCTCACCACCCGCCCCCTCGCTTCCGGGCAGCTCAGGAGCACAGGGCTGTCACAGGTGAGGCCATAGCCGTGAGCTCCAGGCTGGAAAGGGGCTAGGAGCGCCTGCGGGCCAGAGTCACAGGGAGCCCGTTTCCTCGTCATCCCCTCACAGCTGGGACAGCCCTGCAGGGGACCTCAGGCAAGCCACGTGGTCACTTGTGCCTCAGCCTCTCCATCTGAGAAATGGGACTATCAGTGGGCTGCTCCTCTGCGTGTTGGGAGAAGTTAACCTGCTGCTGGCTCCTTGTCCTGCCTCACCGAGTCCGGCCTGTGCAGTGCGGCTGTGATCCCACAGCCCAGCACACGAAGCCAGGACTCAGGTTGCTGTGGCGATGGCGATCACCCGTGGCATGGTGGCAGCCGGCTGTGTGTGCAGGGCACGGCACGAGCCAGGTGCAT